AGGGTTTCTCACTTTGAAAATTTCTTGTACTTCTTAGCTGTACCCTTCATTTAGCTTGTTTCAGGGACACCGGTTTTAAAGTGAGCTGCATGTCCCGAGATTCGAATGGGTGCAGGCTGAGGAAGTGTTTCATGGCTGGCGGGGTGTGGAGTAGGGTTTCTCACATGGTCCTGGGAGGGCTACAGCATTGCCCTCGGGCCCCTTACGCGTGTGGGTTCCTAAGCCCCACCGTAGACCTGCTGAATCAGAATCTTGAGAAGCTGAGACCTTGTCATCTTTTACAAAGAAAATCTTGGTGTGTTTCTAGTGCACACTAACAAGCTGGAAACTAGGTGGCTTAGAGGGTCTAGTTTATGAAAATTGGGTCTGAGTCAAGTGCATTCAGAGGCTTTGCTCTTAGAGGTGTTCTTCTTGTTAGTGGCTACTCATAATGACCTAGTTAAAGGATGTAAATTAAATTAGATTGCAACAGCTAAAAATTATTTTTAAAGATTAGCATGTACTTGGCTTTGACAGTGATTAGTGCTTGTTAACTTGACAGTTGGTGGTGGCTGTACCTAATGACATGAATGGACAGATCCTTTGCTCCCAGCTAGTTCCGATGTGCTAACCAATGAAAATATAAAATTTGCTAAAAGTCTCAAGCTACAGCTTGGAACCTTTTTTAAACTGTATGTGGACCTTGGGTTTGTATGTTGTTTTGTATTACACAGTTGATCTGGTGTCTTTGTTACTTCCTTGTAAACTAAGTTGGTTGGGGGAAGGACCATTCCTTCATACCCCTTGATATTTACAGCATTTCACAGAGTGCTTTGAAAGCTCTAGATCTATTTTTTGGCAGCATGTAAGGTCTTCAATAAAGGTTTTGATGCCTTGCTTAAATGTGAATACAGCAACCTACGTTCTGTGTTTCTACCTTTTTTTTTTTCTTCAAAAGAACATAGGATCCAAAAAAAAAAAAAAAACTATAAAGACTTTTTCTTTTCAATTCCAGAGTGATCCTCTTGACCATTCATCTTAGGAACTGTCATTAGCAGAAAACATTGTTGCCTATCTATATGAGCCGTTCCTTACTTTTTAGGGAGAAAATAGAATTAAATTGAACAATGTAGGAAGAAAAATGAGCTTTTTGTCTTGGGAAGGGAGCTCTGATGCGCTTTAATACCACACCTTAACCAATTACTAATGGTTCTGTGTCTAGAACTATTTTGGTATTATCACCAGTTTGATTTTATCCATGCTGCAAAGCATTAACAATACCTATACAATCATTGACCAGATGCTGTGACTAAAGGTCACAAAGTCACAAAATCACATTAGGTATGAATGTTTTAATGTCTGAGACGGTATGGTTTCAATTTGTGTGTGTGTGTGTGTGTGTGTGTGTGTGTGTGTAGGTAGGTAGGTACAAATGGAATCCTAAAAGTTGTTATTGGGTTATTTTTAAAGTGTTCCTATTTGCCTCCATTTAATAGTCCATTTTATGTTTCCACTTCCTTCTTGGTATGGATATCTTCAAATGCTACTCTTGAGCCGGATTGATGGGTATAGTTCTTGTTTTCCCCAACCAGAAGAATGAGTAAAGAGCATTGCTGGTAGCTATAAAGCAAATACTGCATTTTTTAAGGGTCGCGGCCAACCAGACATATAAATAGTACCTCAAGTAGCAGTATAAAAATAATAACTTTTTATAATAAAGTTCTTTACTGTTTTTGAGTATGGATGTCACCTTGTCGTTTTTTTCTACTATACGAAGGCTGAAACCCCACAGAATTATCTGAGGGTGTTATGTCCATCATTTCCTCTCTCCCTACCCCTTCCACTTTTGAGAAGTGTGTCATCTAAACAGGTAGGGCCTTGACATGACATCCACTTCACAGTAAACTTGAATTAATAATAACTTTCACGCATCCTACAAAAGGGTGCCACTTGCGAATAACTTCACATTGTTAAAATAAGACTTTAGTGTCAATTTCTACTTTCAGTTCTGTTTGAAGTAGACTGGGATTGGGCATTTCAGTTTTTAGGGGAAGTTACTCATGCTTAGATCTATTAAAAAATTTAAATACTAACAAGTCTTTAGTAGTCTCTTTCAGTTTGTATGCATGCAAACAAATATGTAATTTCTATTTTCTGAAAGCTCAATCTTGAAGTGAAACTTATTCTGGCTTCACTGTTTGGATATAGAAACCAAAATTTTTTGATCCGTTTTCTAGCTGTTTACTGTTAGTCACTCTGCAGCCCTGTCATGGGTTCTTGACATGGTCCTTGACACAGGTCCTGCCCTACTGGCTTCTTTGGATCCTGGTGTGGATAGTGGTGAGAATCCATAGGCAAGTGTTTTCCAGAGGAGAAGGAATAATGAGCTTGACCTTACCTTCTTGCCTTTCTCTCTGACTGTTAAACTTCCTGCACTTGGATCCCTTTGAGTTTCTTCCTTTTCCTTGTAAGTTACCTCTGAATTGTAATTCTGTAGTAATTCATCACACGTTTTTTTCTTGTGAAAGGTTATGTATAATATAGATAGTAACTGAACTTATATATGTGCCTCCATAGTTTTTAAAGAATTTCACAGACTGAGTCCTTTTAGAAGCTAGATCCTGGCGTGCCTGGGTGGCTCAGTCAATTGTGTCCAACTCTTGATTTTGGCTTAGGTCATGATCCCAGGATCGTGGGATCGAGCCCTGTATTGGGCTGCGTGCTGAGGATGGAGGAGCTCACTTAAGATTCTCTTTCTTGTTCTCTGCCCCTCTACCCTGCTTTCTCTCTCTTTCTCTCTCTCTCAAAAAACAAAAACAAAACAAACAAAAAAAACCAACCAAAAACCAAAAAACTAGATCCGCAGTGAGAGAGTTCAAGGATATAAAAAAGTTAAGACAAAAAAAAAAAAAAAAAAATGGATCTTATGTGTATTGTTCCTACACAAGGATGACTGTTCTATTCTGAAAATTATGAGTTCAACTCTAAAAGGCTGTGCAGCTTTAGGCCTTTGATGTTATGCAAAAAATAGTGTTTTTGGCTATTTACATCTCCTGTATTTTGCATCCTGTAACCTACATCCTCTGCTTTTCCTGTATGGTGCTGTACTTTCCATAGCTTTTATGCAGTCTTTAGACCATGAATCTTACATGGGATCTGTTCATATTTCTCTTAAAATTGTCTATTTTCATTCTCTTGGCATGGCTTTATAGCATATTCCTCAGGCAAGTCAAACTGGTATTTGGGAATATTTCATTGGTGTAGGAAGGTGTTTTCTCTGAATAGGTATATTTCTGAATAGGATTTCAGCTGGAACCTTTCTCTTTGGCCTTATTTTTTAAGCGTTAGGCTACCCAGGATGCTATTGTGTTGGTAGTTGACTGCATTCCTCTTGTCTTGTGAGAGGAACTCAAAATGACCCCTTTCAGATGAGATGTGCCTTGTGATTGGGGTGGTATCTCTGAAGAATAGAGATGTGGTTAACCACATTCAGTGGGCGGGAAATCTCTGTTGACAGGAAATTGGCAGGAAAGCACACATGTAGCAGGCAGTTAGAGGGAACAGTATCCTACCCAGCCTTTCCACGGCTGCTTTTTTTGCTAACTTGAGAGCCATGTGGACTGGAGTTTAATTCTAGTAATGGTCTCTGGGATGAGACTGTGGCTCCCAGTGCCTCAGAAATTTTATAGTTCTGCCCAGGATTACTCCCACTCTTAAGGACTTGTGTGCTTGCTTGTTATTTTCAGGGGCCAAAGGTAATACTAAAGGCAAATTCTAACCCAGAATTAAATACTAAATCTATTAATTCATTCCCATCCCTTCCTTCCCAGTGTAACAAGGAATTTAGGCTAGAGCCTGGTGGTGTGGCTAGTAGTATGGTCAGTTATTCAGCTTTGTTATACACAAAGCTGATTTTGGGCCCCTCCCATTAGTGTATCCTCTGCCCTTGGAAGGAATGTCTTAGTCAAAGAGAAGAGAATCTGGGGTAGTGATTTGCTCTGTACCCCTTTTTAATCTGGATCCTCACTGAGCTAGACTGATGAGCATACAGGTGTATTCCAGTATACAAACTGGAATTCCATTCTGTCATTCCAGAATGACAAATTTCATTGTGTCAACGTTGAATTTAACTAGTGCCACTCAGGCTGTTATATGATGAATGCTAACACGTGTTTTTCTATACTTCCAAAATCTGATCTATTTAGGAATGCACTTGACCCTTTCTCTGCCCTTTTAAAAGGTCCACTGCTACCGAATAAGATGAGGGAGAATTGAAAATGGATTCTAGCTACTTGAATACAAAATCTTGCCTGACTCCGGAATTTAGAAAAGTTAGATTTTTGGTCTTCCCCCGCCTCCCCCCAACCTAACTGCTTTTTCTTTTGAACCACTTTGTAAGAAACTAATTTATTCACTTTCTAAAGTGGCCTTATGTTTGTCTAGCAGGGAAATCAGCAAAAGGGTTCTCAAAGAAGCTAGCAATGAAATTGAAAAGTGTCTACTGTCACCGCTGGTGATAAATCAAACTGATGTTAGAGATGCAAATAGTCATTCCAGTACTCTCCTCGTTACTAGAATTGTTTAAGTTAATTAAGCCAGCAAAGTACTTCATTATCTACTATGCTGCATGCTAATGGTACATTTAAAGTTTCACTGTCTTATGATTCAGATTTTTTTTTCACATTTAAGTCTCCATATCCATTGTGTTCTAAGTCCATATACTTAATGGTAACTAATACTGTTTTTCAGGAAAATGGATTTATTGTGCCACAGTTAAGTTTCTACTTTGTGAGGTCTGCAAGTCTAAGAAATCTTAGGAAATGTTTGAAACTACCACATTCAGGGTACCTTTTGTCCATCTTCTTGAGAAAGTGATTAAAACGTTGTATAATTCATTTTTATTGGACTGTCAGTAGTTTAATTACATTCAACTTAGCATTGTAGAATTTTTAAACGTATTCTATTAACTAAAATAAAAGCTGTTATAAATTACTGATATGATTGGTTTCTTTCATTTGCAGCATTTAAATATTAGGACACTGACGGATGATATGGTAAGGTTATACTCAACACTTCTTTTGTTGTGAATCTTAACTAACCATGTAATGTTGATGGCGTGCTGGGCTAACACCTTTGAAACTGCTAAAAATCTGCATGTTTTGGAAACCAACTGTTTTTTTATAGTGCTAAAATAAGAGGCAGAATTGGTAAAATGCATGACAGTTTTTGCTTTTAAATAGTAAAAGGAACTAGTAACTCGTTGATGGGCTAATTTAAAAAAATTGTTTAATTACAAATTGTTAGTCAACTTTGAATCATTCAAATCCATCTCATTCTTTGGGGATGAATTGCACACTTAAAAAAGAGGTAAAAAAAAAAAACACCTAAAGACATTCAGCTTTTCTGAAATATGTAGTTGCTGCAAAGTAAACCAGACTAAAATGTCATGCGTGTGTTAAAAAAAATGCTCAAAAATGGGGGAACCAGGCATGCTTTCCTATTTGTTCTGCATGTTGAAAACAATAGGCTTGCTTATAAGAAATTAACACTCTATGGCACCATTACAGATTGTTGTATATTCGAGTACATATTTCTGAGAAATAGATTTTTGAATGTAACTCTTGGCTAACGGTTAGGGAATAACAACAGTAGTAAGGCTGAAATAAACAATAATATGAAAAAAAATATGTAAGCATGATAGGACAAAGCACAGTGCTGTATTGATCTGGTTCTGAATTCAAATTCACCTTACATGTAATATGAAACAATGCATAGAACATGGTAAACACTTAAAAAATGTCTAGTGCACTCATTATCCAACGTACCATCTTGGGTACTTGGGTAAAGTGGACAGGCGAAGAGAAATGAGATCTAGATCGTGACATGCAGGATGGAAAAATTCAATTAGAATGTTCTGTTTTATTCCTCTGGATAATATCTAAAACAAGGGTTGTTCATGTAAGCTTTCCTGGATAAGATTTTTCAGATAATGGTATTTAGAAAATTGTAGTGATACGGAACACTTACACAGAGAACATGTTATTTCTTATCATGCAAGGTAGAGTTGACTTCCTCTTAGCACTCAGTTGCACTGAGGGTCAACTACGTTAAGTACATGGTTTGCCCAAGTATGTACAGCTGGAAAGTTGGGTGTCTGTGGCTTGAATCTTGTTCCACAAAGCTCCAAACCCAAACATGTACTGTGCTAACTCAGCCTTCAAATGCCTTCTTATGACTGATAATTAAACCATCTGTAATTTTTATGTTTGAACATCTATAAGAATATACAATGGTAGATTTAGAATAGCCTTATTAAAATATAGTTCATATAGCCTACAATTTACCCATCTAAAATGTACAACTGAATGGTTTTTAGTATGTTCAGAGTTGTACAGCCATTGCCACAATCAATTTTAGAACATTTCCATCACCGAAAGGGAAACCTCCTACTTAAAAGCGGTCACTCACCATTTACCCCCAACTCCACCAGACTTAGGGAATGGCTAGTCTACTTGCTCCATAGATGTCCACTTCTGGATATTTCCTATGAATGGAGTCCTGTGATAAATGGTCTTTTGTGACTGAATTTTTTCATTTCGCATAATGGCTTCAAGGTCTGTGTTGTAGCCTGTATCACTACTTGGTTCCTTTCTATTGCTGAATGCTCTTCTGGGACCTTTGAAATTTGTTCATATTTTATGGGCACTACACATCTTTTTCTTCCTTCTTTCTTTTTTTTTTTTTCTTTCTTTTTTTTATTTAAAAAAATTTTTTTTAATGTTTATTTATTATTGAGAGAGAGAGAGAGACAGCATGAGCATGAGCAGGGGAGGGGCAGAGAGGGGAGGAGACACAGATTCCGAAGCAGGCTCCAGGCTCTGAGCTGTCAGCACAGAGCCTGACACGGGGCTTGAACTCACAAACTGTGAGATCAGGACCTGAGCCAAAGTTGGTAGCTCAACCAACTGAGCCACCCGGGCACCCCTCTTCCTCTTCATTGAGCTACTGATCTTTGCTTCGTTATGATTGACGTTGTACATTGTCACCCACAGTCTCTACCCTAAGTTCTAGAAACAGAGTCCTGCTACAGATTGGCTTCACCAAGTCATTCTAGAAGCTATCTTGCTCTGATCTTACATTAACAAAAGGATTCCTTCCAGTGAAGACTTCAGTCTTCTCTCTCTATCCTGCCTCCATTCCTCCTCTCCCCTATTCCTTGTAATTGGGTGGGGTAAGGTCAGAACTTTTTGGGAGTTACCATACTGCCTTGTGTGGTATTTTTATCAAAGCAGTATATCATTGTAGGACTTTCTCACCAGTTTAAACATCTTCAAGGAAGAGACAGCATGTTGGTATGTTGTCTGGTATTATGTTAAGCATTTTCATAAATTTTTTGTTGAAGGAATGAAAAGAGTGAATCATCACTTTTGATTACTTGCCTTTGGATCTGGGGATGGCTTGGTCCTGGTCAGGCTTCCCAGAGATGGACCCTTGCCTTTGCACAGAGTAAAAGAGTTTTATATTAAAAAAAAAGGGGGGGGGGCTTTGACAAGGACCTGCTGTTAGTCTTTGTGACCACCTGCCTGGATCACTGACCATTGCCTTGCCTCTGCCTTTACCTTAGAGGGATGTATGACTGTTTGTTCTAGATTCCTCCTTGACCTTTTCCCTTTTGCTTAACTGAACTACAGTCTCCCCAGCTCTCCCCGATCGCTTCTGATCTTGTGCTTTAGCCTGGCTCTTGAGTAGGCTAGGGCTTAAGACCAGGGAGGGATCAAGTAGGCAATCTAGTTCAGGCAGCTGGGTCCATTGCTGTGGAGCTTAGAGAAAAAGCCTGGCTATTTTGAACAAGACACACTGAAAAGTAAACCTAACTCATTGATTGACGCACCATGGAAAGAGCATTGGATTAGGAATCGGAAGACTCTTGTTGAAAGACAGAACCTCACCTCTTCTTAGCTCTTTGACCTTGGCAAATCAATTATCTGATTGTTCACTTACTTGTAAAGTAGGACTAATTATACCTTTTCTACTTTCCTCATAGAGTTTTGGTGAGTTTCACTAAAGTGTGTTGAACTGCTGCATTCATTTCTGTTCCTTGTTAACCCCTCTTAAAAATATGTCCCAGTGCACAGACAGCGGGGGTGACGTGACAGGTTTGCAGTTGAGCCTTACAGGCCATGTCACAGACTGATGCAGAGCTTTGAGGGAGGAAAGCATAGCTGTATATTTCGGGGGCTCTATAAATGATTTTTGGTGAGTTAGAGCTCAGAGAAGCATTGGCCACTGATGATTTGATGTGTGTTAGCAATATGTTTTCTAATTAAAGGTTGCTACCCCGACAACAATGTGTATGGTATGTGTGTTTTCAGTTCAGAGCTTCTTAATGTGAGAATAGCTTTTTTTTTTTTTTGGTAGAACTTGAGAGAAGGCGCCATAACAATGGGGTCTGCTGCAGTCACAGATCTGAATAACAGTATTTTAGAAACATGGAGTTGCAACATTCTGGGAAGCATTAGTGTTAAACACCCATCCCTTTAAATTGCTTGTTAAAGGCCTATGGAAGTACTTCACGTTTCAAGGTTATTTTCTGAGTTACAATCAGAATTTCATAGGACGCTGTCTGGTTGAAGGAAGTATTGCTCTAGTGTTGAGACAGAGTTCATATAGTTTAAACAGTGTTCATTCTACAAATACCTGAGCATTCATGCCATGTAAAGTGAGGTCCGAGGTGAAAAAGTCACTTAGTTTGCAACCATCCTTTGTCTGTACCTGGGTTGAAAAGAACGCTTTTTTTTGTAGAGGCAAAAAGGTTGAGACAAGAGCAGCGAAGGGAGGCTGGTTGGAATAGGTCAACTGGAAGAAATTGAATATGGTTGACACAATACTGAATTCTCCATGACCGTGTCCACGGAGTGTTTTTGTGGTTTAGAAGTTGTTTTTGACTTGGTTATTGTCTCCCTTGTCCCTCAGAACCTTTTGTCTCAAGTGCAATGCTCCTACTGATCCTCTCTGTCTACTCTTTCTTTTCTCCCCCTGGTAGCCAGTATTACTGTTGTAATCTCTGGTTTAGCCTACAGCAAGGATTTTCAGACTTTCTTGACTATAGGACCCAGCATATATACTAAGAAGTATGTTTCATTTTGTAGCCCAGTTCACATACACATACAAATTCTCTCTCCATCGAAACCGTTTTATGAACTAATATTTAATGTTTCTAAGCTCAACGAACTCTGATATTTTCCTTTCCACTCCTTTCTATTGCTTTTTACTCCTCTCCTTTCATTAAAAAAAAAAAACCAAACAAACCCCCAAAAAAATCCCCAAACAAACAAAAATCACCAAAACAAAACAACAACAAAAAAAGAGGGTGGGAAGGGGGGCGGATCCAGTCCACTACATTGGTTCCTTGTCCCACATGTGGTTCATGACTGTAGCTTAAAAAGAGACCTTGGCCTGTACAGCAACTAGAAAGAGTCCTCAGATCATAAAATGAAGAGCAGACACTCACAGAGAGATCTGAGGACTCTTTCTAGTTGCTGCCACTTGCTAGCAGTGTGACTTTGCGTATTTAACTGTTGGGCCTTGGTGTCCTTGGTTATAGAGCTTTACAAGGGAAAAATAATGCCAAAATGCTTGGTGAACTATGCATTCACAGCATTAGTGGTATAGTTAGTAACATGATTTTTTTTTTTTTTTGAGGAAAGATTTACATTTAACATAATATACCAATTTTATGGATGCAATTTGATGAATTTTGACAAACGTCTACAATCATGTATACACTATGATCATGATATAAAAGCTTTCCATCACCCCAAAAGATTTTGTGCCGTTTGTAGTCAATTTCTTCCGCCTATCCTGGCTCTTGGGAGACATGAGTCAGCTTTTTGTACCATATAACTCCGTTTCTAGGATTTCATATAAGTGGAATCACTTAGTATAGTGCCTTTGTGTCTGGCTTCTTAGCATTGTGCTTTTGAGACCCCCTCTAGTGTATCAGAATTCGTTGTTTTTATTACTGAATAGTATGCCATTGTTTGGTAATACTTCT